TGTGCCTTTCACTTTAAAAAAATTTTTTTAATTTATTTTTTTTTTTTTTAGAGAGGAAGGGGGAAAGAGAGAAAGAAACATTGATGTGAGAGAGGACCATCCATTGGCTGCCTCCTGCATGCACCCTGACTAGGGATCAAACCTAACTGAAACCCGCGTGTGTGCACTGATCAGGAATCGAACCCACCATCTTTTGGTGTATGGGACGATGCTCCAACCAACTGATCCACATCAGCCAGGGCATCTTTCCACTTTTTAAAAGTTGTCCTTTATTTATTTATTTTATTTATTTTTTTGTTAATCCTCACCGGAGGATATTTGTTCCACTGCTTTTCAGAAAGAGAGTGGGAGGGATATAGGTAGAGGGGGAGAGAGAGAGATTGATTGGTTGCCTCCTGCACACGCTCCCATGGGGGCCAGGGATCGAACCTGCAACCCAGGTATGTGTTCTTGACTGGGAATTGAACCCAGGACCCTTTGGTATGTGGGCTGGTGCTCTGACCATTGAACACACCAGCCTGGGCTGTTCCACTTATGTATGCATTCATTGGTTGCTTCTAATATGTGCCCTGACCAGGGAACAAACCCACCACCCTGGTGTGTCAGGGTGACACTCTAGCCAACTGAGATACCCAGCCAGGGCATCCTAGTGTTCTTATCACTTAGGAAAAGAATTTTAGGAGTTCTGTGCCAGGAACCAGGGGCAGAGACCAATATTTATTGTTTCTATTATCTCTCACTTTCACATAGAAATTTCTTATTCCATCCCAAATCAGTTTTTGTGTACATTGAGATATGGATCTAATTTCAATTTTTAAACATGGAAAACCATTTGTTATAGCACTGTTTATTGAGAAATCCCATCTTTCCCCAGTGATCTGAGCTATTCTGCCTGGGCCAAGATTCCGTGAATTTCTTTTCCAATATCCCAAAGTCAGACCTTAAAGCCTGAATATAAACACGGTTCCACAAAATGAAGCTAGAAAACTTATTTTGTGCTTACATTATGTGGATGAGTTCCATTTCGATACTAATTAGTGTCTAAATTTAGGGGGAGACTAATCAAATATTACTTGAAAGAAGCAGCCCTTCTAGGGCTTAGAAATCTTTTTCAGCTGTTGGTTATAAAGGGAATGGTCACTTCAGCTTTCCTGGCCCTGGGTGTGGTTCCCCAAGCAAAATCATGTCCTGGCAGAGCCTGCCCATCAAGTAATGACAGGACCTGTGTCCCAGTCCTCTGGTCCTCTGCATGCCAACTGGGTGACTTCAGTGTTCACGAGGATGACTCAGCCACTACCGTGGCCTCTTCCAACTTACAGATCATCATCACAGTTCATTCTCTTATACTTGCAACTACACCCTGGATCCTGTCCATCTTAAGAAATGCTCCCTAATGAAGTCAAATACTTACTTGGTCCATAGACCCCTATCCTTAGCTCTCCCTGTACTTTGCAACAGTCCTGTGAAGAAACGTGTGTATAGTCATGTACCATATAATGATGTTTTTGTCAATGACAGACCACATATGCCATAGCAGTCCCATAAGATTGTAAAGGAGC